ACTAAAGGTGCTATCCCAGAGTGGGGGTTGAGCACTACTTAGACACCGGGCAACTTGGCCACATCCTGAGTAGCCCATATACATCAGCAAAAGGCCTCTTTTTTCCAACAGCCAGGGCTTCTCCCAGCCACCCAGGAAAACAAGCCTCATGTGGTCCAAGGAGGGCCTTGCCCAGACTGCCCCAGCTCACCTGGGAGGAAGCCCCTGTCCTGAAAGACCACCTCACTCACGGACGCAGGTGGAACACCAGCTTCAGGTGCACAGAGCGGCTCTGGGGCCAGACCTGAGCTCTCCGAGCTTCCATTTGGCCATATACAGAACCAGGGTTCAAGAGCCACCTTGGAAGATTCCTGGGAATCTTTCCAAAGCGGGGTGAAAGAGAAAACCTTCAGCACAGGTGAGGCAGGAACAAGCGCTTGTCAAATATTACCTTCCTGTAACATGTTTATTTTTAGCTAGTTCAGATGAGATTTGTCTGCAGGTGGTGGTCAGAGGACAGCTGGATCTTCTCTTTATTTGCCACTTCTGCCTTTTATACTTTCCGTTTCCCCCATTTCCAGCTTCACTCTGTTTCCTCCTCTTTCTTCCCCTCCCTGTGCCTTGGTCCCTGTCCCAGGACCCCGCATTGCCTCCCCATCTCACCGCCCAGGTTGGGAGCCTGTGATGCGCAGCTCTGCAGACATGACACCAGGGAGCCTTTCCTGTCTCAGCAGCTGCCAGCACCGAGCCACACGGTGCCAGATCTCACAGCACAGCCAGGGGGCCTGACAGCAGCACCTCCCAGCTCACCCGGAGGTGGTAACAGGTGCGCAGGGAACAGACCTCAGAAACCTTCCATCCAGGTTCAACAGCAGGCTCCTTCCTGCTGCTCTTTGATTATAGTGCTGCCAGTATGCTAATGAGCATCCTCATCTCAGCAGGGTGCAGATCAGCCGCTGACCATCTCCGAAGCTTGTCTGGCCACAAAACGCTTCTTGTGGAGCATCTTGGGTCTGTGAGTGATGGGAGGCTCTTTAGAAGCTGCAGTGCAAGAAGAAACAAAGAATGGAGCTCATGCTTATTTGGCTGTGTGTCTAGGAAAATTCAGCTGGTGATTTACTGCCTTTGCTTTTAAAAGTAATTGTACTGTTTATTAAATCGCTGCTATTATTGGGCTCTGGAGCTAGCCGTCTGCAGGTTATATCGTGTCCTTTAAATACCAACCCTAACTGAGCAGTTGCTTTCGTCCCTGCGTCCCATTTGAGGACCCTAAGATCAGAGAGGATTAAGAATTTGCTCAAGGCCACACTCCCAGTGAACGGTGGGGCCAAAACACAGGATGGGATATGCTTTTCATGTACTCATTAAATATTTATCGAGTTGCTGTGATACATTAGGCATTTCTTTGCACTGAAAGAATTTTCTGGTGATTCGTTTTCTTTCTTTGTTTTAACCTTGCTGGCCTGCGTGTAAGTGCACGCTCTTCTGGTTTAGACCAGTGGTCTTTAGGGGACCTTCAGCAATGTCTATAGACATTTTAGGTGTCAGGGCTGGAAGGTGCTAATGGCATTGAGTGGGCAGAGGCTAAACATCCTGCAGTTGCAAGACACCCCCCATCAGAGAATTATTCAGCCCAAAATGTCAATGGTGCTGAAGTGAAGAAACCTTGACTGAGAACAAAACCAAAAAAAACACCACTGTTAAAAACATCACAAATGCCAAAGCATATAGGGGCCAAGCGAGGTGACATAAATGACTGGCTAATTGGAGATCCCCAGCCCTGTCCAAAAGGGAACCCAGGCTGCTGGATCTGGCTGGCTGCTGCTACATCCTCATGAGTCTTGGCACAAACATACCGAAGTGGCCAGCTCTTCCCATTTTTCAACCCAGAAACACAAATCTTAACGTGAAGATACTGTACTCCTCATTTAAATATTGGCAGCCAATTTGAGTATTTTTTAAATGCTATGTGAATCAAGGACAGCACATCTGGAAGACCTGGAAGGATGATTAGAAGGCAGCACACAAGTTTGCAGCCTCCCACAGGTGCCTTCCTCACAGGAGCCAACCGCACTGAGTGTATTAAGCAGCTGGCCGCACTGCCGGGCCCTCAGGCTTGTCCCCACATCCTTCTCCTTATCCTCTTCCTCTCCAAAATAGTTTATCGACTCTTTGTGTGTGGTAACACCAGCTCAAAACGCCCATTTTACCTGCATGGCAACCCTAAGAGACAGGCGGACCGTTTAAAGGCCAAGGGTTCAGAGCACAGGGAGGTTATGCAACCTTTACAAATGAACAGTGAGTGGCAGCATCTGACCCCAAACCATCTGGCCCCAGAGCCCACCTTCTTCGCTACTAAGCCAGCTTGTTCCGGAGATGATGCTGGATCTCCAAACCCTGCCCAGTGAGAGTCCCCAGGGCACCTGTGGGGCAATTGGTCCCCCACTGGGATCAGCCTGGGCTCCCCAAGTGCTCCAAATCTCAGTCCCTCCATCTGAAGCCCAGGTTTTCACCTGGGGGTGATTTTGTTCCCCAAGGCACACTGGGCAATGTCTAGAGACATTTTCGGCCATCCCAAGTGGAATGGCGACGCTGGCATCCAGTGGGCGCTCCAGGAAACTGCTAAGCACCCGCAGGGCAAGGCCCCACAGCAAAGCATGATTCAGCCAAGATGTCAGTGGTGCCAAGACAGAACTCGGAGCTAAGAAACTCACTGGCAACCAAAGGAGAAGGCAACATTCCAGGTGGTCTGATCTGTTCTGCCCCTCAAAACACTGCGTCTCTCCTTAGGACGTTCGGTCTTTCCTGGCCTCAGAATTTGTGGTGACCTCATTGCTCTGTACTAGCTGTCCACCCCACAGAATAGCCCCCCAAGACAATGCTCACGCATTAACAGCAGCAGAGCATGTAAGAAATGGAAAAATGAGCAATAGGTGAAAGAAAAGGAGTGTGAGAATACAAAGTAAATCCTTACGATCCAAGTATCATATTGTCTACATGCCTGAAATATTACTGTGCTTTCTGGATGCCCCAGGCCAATGATGGCAAACCTTTTAGAGCTTCCAATGATACAGACAGCCTGCTATGGCATGCGCACCATAGGTTCACACCGCTGTGCCAGAACCCCAGCCCCCCCAAGCAGATGTACACCCCTCTCTGCTAAGCACACATACGCGACTGCACTGCATTTCATAAAATGATTTTAATAGAAAAGTACAAGATATGAATAAAAATAAATAATCTTTATCTCATTTCTAGCCCAGCAAATTGTACACTGCATATAAAAATGGTCTAAAATGCGATTTTACCCCATTGCTTTTTGGTTTTGAAATACTCAGACAGCATTTTCATTCAACCTTCTAGATTCATATCGATACATTTTTTGAAAAATCATACCAATCTGTCATCATTCTACATCCATGTTTTAAAGTTAGTTAACAAGATGTCTCCCTAAAATAAAACAGTATTAAATCACCAGATTTAAGTGTAAAGTTTATGTCAATAGGTAGGTTATAAGATCCCATTTCTAAGTTTCAACTCCTATGCCTCTTATTTCCTGAATTAAAAAATTTATTTCATTATCTTATTTTCAAAACATGACATCTCATTCTTACCATTCCACAGAGGGAAGACTAGAAAATACTTATTTTTAAAAAATAAATATTTTAATGCATACTTTACAGTGCTAATGCAGTATTTCAGACCTGCACCTTGGTGGGCATTCGCATTCAGTACGTGCTTCAAGTTACAGGCACTGTTCTCCCTCTGTATACATTACTACTGTGGGCCATTTGGCCTTCGGAGGCTTGCCTGTGCTGATCTCCTGGGAGTCAGCTGGTACCAGTGTCCCATGTGGAAGGCCCAGCACCCTATGACCACGGCATATGTGATAATGCCAGGGGCTTGAAGGACAGTTTGCAGAAATCATCAGAGAACCAGCCTTGGCAAGATCGTGAGTTCCGGAGGCGGCTCACACCTCTACAGTGCCAGCCTCGGGAGGTCGAGTAGCCCCAAGAACTGAGCAGAGAGACTGGACTGAAGGTAAAGCCTTCCCCGTACTTGAGCCCACAATGCTATTTTGAACATGGCTGTTTGTCACTGCCTGTGCATACATTTTTTGCTAATTTTCCGTATCGGGAAGATTTTGAATCCACTTGAGGATGAGAAGAAAAAATACACTGACACTACTACATCCAGTATATGTTTTTGCAATAAAGAACACTGGTCAATATACAACTCAGGAAAAACTGAACCAGATGTGAGTCCTAGAACCACAAGCCTTTTGAATTTGCCCAGAAATGCTATTTAAAACACTCTATATGTTGATCTGTTTTTTAAAATAATGTGTTTTTGGCATCCTTAAGAGGTTTCAATACGTTAGACGTCATCTGGAAAGAAAAAAAGCAAAGGGTGGAGGATCAATCTTTGCAGCCCTGGCCAGCCCCAGTGCACATTTGCATGAAGCGCAAGCATGTGTATGAATCGCACTTAACACAACAAACCTTTAAGTTTCCAAAGTTTTCATTCTCTGTGGACTGAGGCTTTCCTTTCATAAAAATTGCTTTCAAAGGGGCAGAGGAGCATCACACATGGCCCACAGTAAATTCAAAGAGAGAGGTGCAATTGTTGCAGTGGTAAATACAAAGATACATTTCGGGGTGGGAGGAACTAAAACGCTGGTCATGGATAAAAGTATGTGGCTTTGTAGCTCTTCTCTGGGATGTTACAATAGCAACATGCTCTAAAACAATTAAGTTTCATGCATAATGCTAAAAGAATGTGAGCAATCCTATAACCAGCTTTAAGCCATCTGCTTGATTTTTTTTTTAGGAACATATATAGGAAAAGAGAATTCCCCTTTTGTTCTGCTACATATAGAAATCTTTTGAAGCTTCCAAATAGTTTGGTTTTTGTAAAATTCTCCACTCTTCCATTATTTTAACATGTAGTTATCCTACACTATCCCTCATGACTTCTCCAAAAATCTCCATGTGAGTTATCTAAAGGACAACCGAAACCACTTACCAATATACAAGTAACATTTTATTTTATATTCTATCTTCCATTGGCATAAGCCTCTCAATGTTTGTTTTTTAAACCAGTGAAATATACAAATCACACAAGATGGAAATATGTACATTAAAAGCATAGAATAAAGGCCATAAAAGATATACATAATATCTGAATGACATGTAGAATATTTTACATTAAATAGTTTCTTTTAAAAGCTAGGATTGTTAAACTCAACTCTGTTCATAAACACGAATCACTAAGAAGGAACACAATCTGATTTAGCTAATAAAAAAAGTACTTCATGGTTTTTGTAGAATAAAAACCAAAAAAGTGACGTTTTAAACTCAATAGTGCTTTTTAATTTCAAGATCTTTTGCTTGCAATTCACTGCAGCTGAGGGGAAGTGAATACCCTTGTGCAATAAATTAAGAACTCCTTGGCTGAGGGCAGGCGAAGGCCACCGAGCCCAGGAAGGGTGCAGGAGAGGCGCGTTTTGGGAAACCTTGAAAACAGTGACCATCTGAGATAAGAACACATGTGATGGCACTTTGGGGAAAGAGGTGTCCTTGTGTTAAATATTTTTTTAATTAGCTATCTATTCAGTGAGCTGGGTTCTCCTCAGGGACTCAAACCCACCAAATTGAACAGGCACCCATTTCCACTCTGTGGAACAAACTAAGCAAAGCGAAATGATCAGGATGCTTCTGGGTTGTATCTATTAATGTCCATGTCTGTGACGAACAAACGATGCCCTCTCCACAGTGTCTACAGAAAGGGAGGCTGAGGAGAGGAGCAGGCCAGGAAAGAGAAAAGCAATCTTCCAACCAACATGCATTTCAGCGAATCAGACTGCAGAGCTGCCTCAGAAACAAGCTTGCTTCCTGGTGCTCAGGGTATGATCCCAGCAGGGCCACAGGCCAAACGCAAGACTCAAAACACATTTGGAAAAATCCCAACTGGACTGCAGTGAAGGACAACAGTGCTCCAGAAACAAGCCCAGAGTAAACTGTAAATATAAATCCTGGCTGCACTGAGATATAATTATATTTATATTTATATATGTATATATATATATATATATATATGATATGTACAAAAGACTTGAGATATCAGGCACCATTAAAACACATCGCTCCCCTTATAAATGCAACTGTTGCAGTACATTAGGAACAGTCTTAGGGTGCACCTGCAGTATAATAGGAAAAGCACGAGTGGATAAACACAGAATTCCAACAGCGAAACACTGTGACACCTCTGTGGACTCTGCTAAGTAATGTCATCAAACCATGGGAAGTTACTGTGCCTCAAAGTAAAAGATTTAGAAAAAAAGATCCCTAAGTAGCAAACTGTTTTCCGGAACTCCTCATGTTTCATTTCCTGTCCTACACTCAAAAGGGACCCAGCGGAGCTGCTGCTGTTTGGAAGCCTGGCCAGCATCACAGCAGCACAGAGGGATCAGAGAGGGCTTGGGGTCAAGTAGGAAGGTGGGTTTCACTTTTTTCCTGAAATGGGTTTTTGTGCTCTGCATGCAATCATCTTGATGCTCGGGCTGAGGCTCTGTGGATGGAATTCATGTCTTATTCCCATTAGCACTTAAGAACCCAGCACTATCTCTAAGACAAACACCTCATTCCCAACAAAAAGACTTGTATCCCGAATCCTTTGGGGAGAACACCTTCAAATCTCCATGTAGATTTCAAATTTTCTAATTTCTGGAGACTTTTCTGCTCCCCAAGTTTTTTACTTAACTGCTCCCCAAGTTTCACAAGCTATTAGAACAGAGACAATCCACAGATGGGATATTTGAGAAGAATAAGACACATGCCACACCTGTTTTTCTCTGAAGATGTAAGACGCTTGCTCTTATATTTTAAATCATTATTTTGAAAATATGAAAAGCAGGCTGGCAGCCCCTAGGAAAGTGGGTCGCTCTCATCTTCTGTGATTTTGTTTTGTTTTCTCAAGACCTTTTATCTTGCACCAGAGCATTTCCAATTCATTTTAGTCACAGAAGCTGAAATCTTGCACACATTTGTACCACCCTGCACCAGCTGGATCCTACCCATCCCAGATGACTCTACAGCTAAGAAAAATATGTATTTCCTTTACCTTCTGGCTGTGTGCTACGTCCACACAGCTAGGCTAGGGTACGCATTATTTCTCTCTCATCCTATACTATCAAGCTTTGCATTACCTTTTCAAAGATCCACAAAATAAATATTTTTCTTGGTTCCCACCCCCATTATTGCCAAACAATAATTATAATATTAATAATAAACCACAGAGTTCTTAGATGGTAACAGAAAAAAAAACACGGTTCCGGCTGTAATTCGTGAGGAAAAATAAAAAATATTTTTAAAAAGAAGAACCAGAATCACTGTACTTTCTATAAATAAGTGGGTCCTGGGCACGGGGCTGGGCGACGGGCAGGGGACCACTATTTGCACACGAACTGGTCCACGATCTCGGTGCACTTCTTGCACTTGACATAGCAGCACCAGTGGAACTTGCAGTGGCAGCGCTCGGTCTGCACCGTCTTGAACTGGTCGTAGCCGCGGCCGCAGCACATGAGCTCACAGCCGTCCATGCCCTCCGAGGTCTTGTTGCACAGGCGGCCCTGCGTGCCCAGTGAGCCCGTGCTCTCGTTCCGCACACAGTAGTCGGGGCTGGGGTCAATGTAGACCAGGTCCTGAGTGGTGGGCGAGTTGAAGCGGCTGTTGACCTGCACCAGCTTGCCCCGGCTGTTGAGCCGCATGGCTGCTGCGCTGTCATATTTCTCCTTCAGCGCATCGCCCACCTTGCGGAAGTCTGCGAGCTGCAGCCAGCACGTCTTGAGGCTGCAGGAGCCGGACACCCCGTGGCATTTGCAGGCCACGTCGGCCAGATTGTACACCGTCTGCGGGGAAAGGGACAGGGTCAGCGCGCAGATTCAAGGAGGCCCAAGATGCAGGTACGGGCTAGGCTAACAAAGGAGTCACATTCAGCGGCTGCACGGGGTGGGGGGCTGTTTTATTTCACACTCCACTACCAGCAGTCTTGAACTGCCTTCTTTTAAAATCTCTACCAAACAAATATGTTCTCAGCCACTCATTATTACATCATCGACTGCCACGCATTTTTTAGATGGGAGCAAGAGGGAGTCACTGCAGTCCCCTCTTCTTTTGCAGGGAAACCTGAGCAGAAGCACATGAACATGCATCCTACAGACTTCACCATTCCTTTCCTGTGGTCCGACTTTGAAGGGCATCACCCCATTTCACAGAGAGAGAGGAAGTAAGGCCAGGAGAGACAGTTCCAAGTCAAAGCACTGCAAAGTGGCGCGCCAGGATTCGAACCCAGGCAGTTAGTCTCCAAGCCCAACTCCGTGGCTTGCCCATGGGCACCCAGCTGCTACGTGGAGAGATGGGAAGGGGTCCAGCCCCAGTGGGAGTGGGTTCAAACCTTTTCCCCTCCTACTGCTACTGCTGTGTGCCAGATGCTGCCCTAAGACCAGCCCGCTGCTGACCTCCCTGAATTATCCCAGCAGCGTTGTAACATAGGCTGGATTAGAAGACGGTACAGTGACACACAGAGGACAGGCGGCCTGCACAAGGCGTGCAGCTAGAACGTGAGGAAACTGGGCCTGGCTCTCAGGGGCCCTCGCTTCTGCTTCCCGCACAGGTCGCTGCCCTGCTGACTCCCTCCCTTGGCCAAGAGCACCTGCCCTGAAACCAGGCAGATATGGATTCCGCTCCTGGCTCTGCCCTTGAACTAAGAGAAATGACTGCACCTTCTAAGCGTCCGTTTCCTCTGTGAAGGGACTGTGAGGTACCAACCTGCCAGTACTGTTTGCAGGGTAAAATTAGGGAGGCACGGAAAGTGCCTGGCAGAAAGACACACACAGTAAATCTGGTCTTTCTCCAGGGTGGCAGGGCATGGTGTCTGCTCCGGTAGCAGTGCCCATGGGTTGGCCCCACAGCACCGCACCATGCCCAGCAGCCTGGGAGGCAGTGGTTGCCTATTTATAGTTCCTGCTGCCCACAGCTCCCTCTGCCAGCAACCTTCCAGGGTTCCCATGCTGTGGGTGTGCTGGCCAGCACCTCCCAGGAACCTGGAGGCCGCGTCCACCCAAACAGTTACCTTCGTCCTCCAGGAATTCACAAGGGCTTTCTTTTCAAAAAGGCAGAAGTGTACTCTCTTGGCATAAAGATGCTCATGCTCTCGGCTAGCCTGAGGAAGGTTCTGCAAACATATTTAACCTCTGCTCTCCTTTGAGGAAAACAAAAAGCTGATGCCCTGAAGAATTCTAATATGATTTCCTGGCAAAGGGCCTACTTCCCACCACTCTGCCCTGCATCCTAGAGAAAAGCTGTCTTCTATGTAAGCTCACCCTCCAGCCCAACTCAGCTCCCTGATCCCTTGCAGATATGAAGTGCAGTCGTAACAGCAAGAGTGCTTTCCACATTCTCCTCAGTCCTCTCTCACCACTAAAGCGTCCCTTCACCCTCTCCTTGGCTATCAAGCCCCAGAAAACGGAAGTGTGAAGCGCCGAAGTGTTAAGAAAGTACTACTGATGGCCAAAGCAGGACTGTGGGCTCCCCGGCTGTGCCCCAAAGACTCAGCACACTTGTCCTGGAGACTTGTGTCACTGGCCGAGGTGGGAGTCGGGCCTTATGGGTTTTCAGAGAGCCTGGGCCAGACCCCTGACCCCCACCATGTGGTGGGTGACAGCCACAGTCCAGAGCAGAGCGTCAGCCCACCCTGCAGGTAGCGCAGCAGGAGGAACCTGGGAAAGGGGAGGCCACAGTTCTGCTGGAGCCATTACCTGAGCCCTCATGGCAGCTCCAGCAAAACTGCAGAGTTTAATACTTCCCTGACACTTCTAAGTATTTAACATGGAATCTGAGAAGCACATTAGTGAGCTGGAATTATCTACACAATCTGTGGCTTTTCTACAGCCTGTATATCCTAATGTTTAATAATTAACTTATCATCTATCAAGTACTTACTACTGGCCAACACTAAACTAAAACCTTAAATTGCCTCAGATGAAATTGTTATTTTGGAGAAATAGTCAAGTATCAGCAGTTTTGTAGGGTTCAAACCACACCATGATCTCACTTGGACCTCAGAGCAACCCCAACTGAGAGTTCCTGTCATGGTCACTGACACACGGAAATGTACAAACTGAGGCCCAGAAACCCACGCGAACAGAGAAAAGTGGATTTAAACCCACATTTCTCTCATTCCCAAACCTCCCACGCTCCACCTCAGCCTGTGCGGAATGAGTGTAACGCAAGTGACCCTGGTCTTGTATTTCAGTCCATTAATCTTCTTCCACAGCCACGGAGTAACTCTGTCGGCCTCAGTTTCCCCATCTTTGAGATGAGGGTATAGGACCGATGGGTCTATGGCTCCTTCCAGTCCTCTATGGTCTACTCTGTGATTATCTTCCTTTTTCCCTCACCCCAAAATATAGAAGAGTGAAATCCCTGACCAGAAAATTCCTGGCACCTACCTTGGGTTCTGTGAAAAAATAATCTCCCTGGTTTTCAGAACTGCCAAAGTTAAGTTTTCACCCCTTCATTTTAGAGCAGCCATAAAGTGCCATGTGTTGAACCATAGGGAAGAAAGGGGAGGGCTTTTTAACTACTGCAGAGTAACGTTTCATAGCCCCACGCGGGGAAGGAGCCTCCGAGGGCAGGGCTCTGTCCTCTCTGGACACTGCTGTAGCACGTTCCTCTCCGGGGACCCCTGCCCGCCGCCCGACGGTCAGACCTGTAAAATTCCTCACTGCTAAAAATGCTGTTATTTTCTCAGAAAAGCCCTTCTAGAGACCCTCCATCTGTCGGACCTAATGGCATCTGGGGGGCAGAGAGAAAAGGAGGGGAAGAAGGCCCAAAGCTGGGGAGGGGTCCTTCTCAGCAGGGGCCCCGTTGTTCTCTCTCACAAACTGGGACCCCCCTCCCCAAAAAAACATGTTCCAAGGAAGGGGGAAGGGAGTTGTGAACATTTCTATTTGTATTTCTGGGCTCTATCAGCCCATGGCTTCGGGACTGGCTAAAAAAACAGGGAAGGATCTTTCTCAGGCACCCAGGCTGGGCTCCCGGAGGGCGGTTCACGCCTGGGAGGGCTTCCGGGGTGTGCACCGCTCTTCAGAGGGGACCTGGGGAGAGATGGCAGGTGGGGAAGCCAGAGGAGAGACAGGGAGGGAGAACGGGAAGGGAAGGGGGAAGGGAGATGAAACAGGAAGCAGGAAGACTTTTTTTAGGCCGGAAAACGAGGAAAGGAGGGAGCCAGCCAGCCCGGGAGACAGAGGCCGGGGCGGGCGGCACTCACCCTGCGGCCCGCCTCGTTGTTGTGCAGGTTCATGAGGATGCGCGCGCTCTCGTAGGAGCCCTTGGCGTGGATGCGCTCCCGCTCGCGCGCGTCCACGAACTCCTTGGCGAAGCGGTAGCCGTAGTCGATGTTGTCGCCGCAGCCGCCCCACAGCCAGTCCCGCGGCAGGTCCTTAGGGCGCGCGGCGCGGCTGCAGCCGCAGGTGGACAGTTCGCCCTCGCGGCACGCGCGGCTCATGGCGTTCACCACCCCCGCGGCGCTCACGGCGTACGTGAAGGCGGTCTCGCGGCTGCCTGCAGAGGGGTACGCGTCACCGGGCTGCCGGGGCTGGACCCCGAAACCCGCCGCCCCGCTGGGGAAGGCCAAGAAGCCAGCACACATCTCTTGGGGTGTCCCCGGGTCCTCCCGGGGCGAGCCCCAGCGCGCTGCAGCCCCTAGAGGAGGGCAGGCAGAGAAGCCTCAGGCCTCACCCCTCACCTGCCCAGGCCCTGGGCCCACCTCGCCAGAAGCCACAAGTCACAGAGGAGAAGCAGATGCTTAAGTGTCTTCACACTGACATTTCAGAGCCTAAGGCAGGTCTCTAGCAGCACTGGATTGACTTTCAGTACAGCTCTTTGGAAGATATTCAGAACTTAGAGCCAAAAATGCACATGAAAGAAATCACTGAAGGAAAGCTCAGAATCAGGGTACATGTCTTTACCCTTGTTCTTGGGTTTGATATTATTTTCATTCTGAGCAGGAGCATTGGATTTGCTAGGCTTGGAGCCTCTGAAAGTCTGAGGGCTGAAAGCTAAGCCAGACACTGCCTGTGGCCACACTGGTGCTGGCCACACTGGTTTTGGCCTGGCACACCCGCCTCCTCTGGCTGTTGTAACCTCTCCTTCCTCTTCCATCATGCTGCACAAGGCCCTTTCCTTTCCCTTGGGATACTTCTAACCTGTTCAGAGAGAGGCATAAATGAAATCTGCTCTTTCTTAAATCCCAAGCTGATTGGACCAGTACCTCACATTCAAGAATATGAGTGTGCACTCTTCAATCAGCCCGCTCTTCTTTAATGCCACTTCCGCCACCACCCCCTGCCCCTCGACCCCACCCCACCCACCATCACCTGACCGGTACACTTTCTCAAAGTATTAAAATGAGAGCAAGAAGGGGGGAAAAGAATCTAGGGAAGGTGGGGGGGGGGGTTCTTCTTCCCCAATACTGGCGAAGACTTTCTCCCTGTGACACAGTTGTAGGAGCCCTATGTGTAAGGAGAAAACTGGAGGTGAACACCAGAGACACCCTAAAATTCCACTTGGATATGGGGACTCTGCTACATGTAATAAAAAAACACTTAATAAAGATGTACTAGGAGAGAGAAGGGGTTAACAGCCAGCACAAGCTGAGCCTGGGGGTGGGGAAGGGGGCCTCACTTTCCTCACTGTAAAATAAGGGTATTGAACTAAAGCCCTAGGGGGAAAAGGGCCCCTTCTGCTGCTGAGATCCCTGTGCTGGAATCAGTTTCTCCTCGACTTACTTTGAGAGTTTGCTAACAATTTGGGGGTGCAGCACAAGGATAGCTGACCACAGGACTGGCCCCAAGCAGAGGGCTCGCTCTGCAGGAGGGTGGCCATGCACCCGCCCCTCCCGTGGGCTCCTCTGGCCCACACTTCCGGCCAGCCCTCTTCCATGCCCCCTTCCTCAAGTGCTGACGGTTCTGACTCACCACAGACCCTCCCCACCCACATTTTGGGAATGCATGAGTTGAGGAGGAGCACACTGGTGGTTGCAAGGAGGATCCAGAAAGTTCCTTCTGGGAGTTACATCTATCTAGCTCAAATTAGAGAGGCAGAAAACATCAGGAGAATGGAAACAAATGAGAGGAGGCAGATTCTAGGCAGTTATCTGAGGATTAACGCTGATAACACAGAAGATTCAGTGGCCCTTGTAGAATAAAGAGCTTGTGGCTAGAGGAAGAGGAGATAAAATGGTCCCGTGAGGACAGAGGGAAATAGGACACTGTCCCTTGAGTACACAGAGCATAAAAAGGCTTCCAGACAAAACACAGATAATACTGCTTCTTTTAGAAGTCTATATTGAGCATTTCCCTTTTTGCCACAGAATATAAACCTGGTAGAAATTTCTAAGCTAACTGATAATTGCAGCAAAAAATTTAAAAAACAGGGCAGTTGGAGAAGCGCTCTCTGGCTCCCAGCCTGTGGATGCAGCCATCTCAGCTGGGGTTCAGTCAGGTTTCCTCTGTGTAAATCTTCGTTTACTTGGATCCTCACACCCCTTAAAAATGGCGCCTTCCTGACATCTTTTCACAGTGTGGAAACAAAGACAGGCCAGGGACAAAAGCTAGAAGGAAAGGGTAGCGTGATGAAAAATGAGGAAGCCTCCAAAATGAAGAGCAGGCCCCTCATGAGACCATTGTGCACGGTGCCTCTGAGGCAAGTGGAACCTTGAGAAAATGAGTTGAACAGGGGCTGGAAGTGGCAGCTGCGTTTCTCAGACCTCACAGGGTCAGATTCTGACAGACAAGAATTACTCTCAGTGTTTCAGAGGGTGCTACGTGCTTTGGGGTGGGCACACACACACCTTTGGGTATCAAAAGCATTTAAAATTGTCCTAGCTCACTCTGGTCAAACATTCCCTGAAGTGGAGAAATGAAAGGAAAGTCACTTCCCCACTACTGGAGTTGGCTCTTTGTTCCTTGTCTCTAAAAATCTAATTTTCCTGCTCTCAATCTCTTCTTTCAAACATGTAAGAAAAAGAAGACCTCCTCAGGCTTCCATCACAAGCCACCCAGCAGCAGTTTCTGCTTCCAGACATCAGGCCCTTGCAGGCCTCTGCCTCAGTGCTCCTGCTCCCAGGATAGCAGCTCATTCTCCCAAAACATCAGAGGCTATCAGGAGGTACCCTCCAACCCACATCCCATCACTCTGAACGGAAGCGCCACCTAACAGGTCTCAGAGCATACTTTCAAGGGACAATTAAATACAGGCCTTTGCACAAGAATTTTGCTGGGAAAACAGGCTCTTTGAATCTTGGACCGCATTTAAAATAAATCTCCAGCAGAACTCAAATTCATTTAGCAAATGATAGCTTATTCTGAACATTCTGACCCTAAACAGGCCACGTATGAAGATGAGAAGATGTTAAAGCCGTGTTCCAGTGACTACACAGAAAAACAGCTCCAAAGGTTCCTTTCCTTCTGGTTAGCATCAGAGGTGCATGCTTTTTGCTAACTTGTGTCCAGGTAATGGGGTCCCATAGTTTGAGAGGCACACGGTTGAGGAAGACTACATAAGAAGGGGGCAGGCTGACTAGCCATGCTAACCGAGTTTTTAAAAGTCTTTAGTGCTTACAACAATATCAGAATGTAGGAGAATCTTGAGGCTCCACCACATCCCCAGTGAACTACAGAAGACAGTCCACATGCAGGGACCTGTCCCCTGCCCCTGCAGTAGCCTCTCCACTGGACCCCACTATATACATTAGCACATTTTAATGATTAACAGAAAGGACAAAGCCCCAGGAAACTTGCAGGCTGGGGCCACAGGCCATTTTCCCATTCAGTTACAGGGAGCAGCTTCAAAACCTGAATTAGTTTAGTTTATGAAGCCCCTTGGCTCCAATGTCTACTGACAACTCTTTTTTGTTCTCAATGAATGCACTTTTCACTGTTTTTAGAGAAAGCATTTTATCCATCTGTGATGGATACCAGGCCAATTTTTTATCTTCCATCAGTATAAACAGTTAATTGCTTTGATAAATTATTTCTTATTGTAATATGACCACAGTCATATTAATTATAAGGATTTGTTTGCATAAAAGTAAAGAGACCTCCAATTTTCACACTAGAAAACACATATAAGACCACATATGTCAAACAGAACCCTAGACTATGAAACCAAACCAAAGGCGAATTGAGTTTTTCAAAATTTTTGCCTGTAGCCCAGTAATTTAAATGCTATCTCCTCCCTGAAAGGAATAACAAGCTCAACAACATATTTAAAATTAAAACTCAGACTGTGAGCAGTACATTTAAAACTATTTTAAAGTTTCTAGGTTGAGAGCTCAAGCATATGTTTTTCTGTCAATTGTCAAAATCACACACATAAATTAGATCACTTCTAATTAAAATTTTTCTGGGACTAAAATAAAACTTTTGACATACATATCATTGTAGCCTCAGGAAGTATCTATATTAAGAAAATTAAAATCTTGTACACTGCCAACATATCCAGCATTCTGAAAGATGACAACTTTTAGCTGGATGCTCAGGTTATTTGAATTGTAGCTTAAGAAATTTATAACAGTCAATGAGTTTAAGTCTAAAAGGATCTAAATGACTCAGCTTTCGACATCTACTTTTGAAAAACCAAAATAAGTATTCTGCTACTACTTTAAACAAAATACACTTCAGAAAAAGAAAGTGTTCAGAAAAACTAAGGTGTCTGTGATGCTCCTCCTAATTTGGTTAAAAAAGCCCCAAACTCACAATCACACATGGAGACCAGAATTAACACTGTTCTCTGTAATGACAAAAATTCCTAATCCATCACACAGGCTGGCAGGTACCTTATCCATCAAGCATGCAAGCAAACACTAAAGATTTTTTTCTAGGAAAAAAAAATTCCAGAGATTTGAAGTGGCTTCCTACCTATCTGCATAACCCTGCCAAAGACGGATGTGTTATCCACGGTGCTGCAGTTCCACCGCCGATGTCGGAATTGATACTGGCATTCTTTGATGCCTGTCTTCGCGCCTTCTCCGATGTACTGCATGTGGTCCTGATACAAGTGGCACAGTTTCTTCTGTCCTTGAGAAAGTCCTGCCAGTTGGCTGCAGAGAGGCTGCGCGCCTATGATATATACTTCTGACATCTGAACAGGGTTATTCATACCTAGCGACCTGCAAAGAGGGGGAGATGTGCATTCAAGATTTACACGAACTCTTCAGGTAGGGGCCCCTGAAAGCATGTCAGCAATACAGACTTTTAAGCACACAGATGCTTTTTCTCTCCTGCTTGTCCTCATGACAAAGTATGAGAAGGGCTTATAAAACTCCTCTGTTTAAACTCCACTCAGAACACGGAGGTATTGTGTAGTGTTTATCCACCATCTGGTTCCTCAGCATTTTCACTCCCTTCCTTGGCCCTGCTGCCATACACCCAAACCAGTATTCCCAGCATCCACTCAGAAAAGGGGGAAATGGTGGTTTTGGGGCCCAGCTGCTGACTACAGAGAAATTGATTCACTTTGCCCCCAGATTGGACAGATCTGCCTTAAAGACAAGAATGCTGAAAGCAAACATGACTAGACACGGGTAGGGGACAGCAGTTTCTTCCCACTGATGCAAGAACAGAGGGTCAAGTACAGAGAGTGAAAAAAACTCACTGCGTTTCTTGACACTTAAAAAGGGTTCCTTATGTGATTGTGAAGGACCCAAGACAGGGTATCCAGTGAACAGAAGTTATGTTTGACAGTCAGAAAAATGCTGTTCATTTACAGGGGTAAAATATCGAGAAATAATCTCTGGATACATTGCAGTCTATCTACAAGGCCCTTCCAGAAAGAAGCCCCACTTGGGGACACAGGACTACTTCAAGTTCACCTGCTTTTGATCAAATTTCAAGCCCAAACATTCTCCACTTGGAGTTGAGCTGTCTTCCTATGGCTCTGCCACTTCAGACTCCGTAGGTCAATAACCTCCAGTATCAGGAAATAAAAGGTGAAACTCACTTTTACTACCCAGAGGTGGCAAAGAGTACATTTTATAGATAGGCTTACAATTATTAGAGAAGCGAATTTCTGTTCCCTTTTATTACATGATGTGCTATAAGCACATGCCTGAACAAGGGCCTCATAGAAAAAGGCCTAGATTTATAGGTTCCGATTCCCTATGAGACTGAAGATAAGCTTTACAATATTAGAAAGTTAAAAGAAAAGGGCCAGGGATTTAGCTCTGTGGCACCACGCCTGCCTCCCAAGTGTAAGATCCTGAGTTCTATCCCTGGTACCGGAAAAAAAATATCCTGACTTAAAATAACCATAAAGAAAATATACTATGCATATACGTATTAGATAAATGCACCCAAACTCACTCCCCACCTTTAAATATTGCAGCATCATACAGACGACTCTTTAAAAAAAATAGAATATGCACATAGAATAAACTTACCACCAAGAATTGGCTTCTATTACAACCTGGGCAAAGGAGAAAAATATGGCCAAAGCCATTAGGAAGAATTTGGAAGACATTGCACTTCCAGCCGTCCCCAAAGCTTCTCCCGGTCTTAATATTCCAATGGACTTCTGGAGAGGGAAGAAAGGAGCAGATGTTTATTGCCCCTCAGATAATTTTCAAGCATGTAAGTTTAAACAACGGAAGCATCCGGGGTCTCTTAAGTTTACTGTTGATTGACTGCACTTTTCCGCGAGTTTTTTGATGGCAAGATATAGGCAGTTTCTTTTTCCAAGTTAATCCACCCACGCAACCTCACCAGGAAGTCTGATTTCGCTGGGATCCTGCTCGCGGGGCGCGCCAGCGATTACAAACATGTCTCAGAGCGTGGAGTCCAAGCCCCGTGCCAGGCGCGGCCTCCTTCCTCTCGCTGGAGTCCCGTCCCCCCTCGCTGCACTCGTCCCTCCCCGGGAATTCACTCCCGGAACCCTCCGCCACCCTCGTCCTCTCCCCGACCTGGGCCGAGCAACAAGTGGAGCCCGAATTCATTCCAAGGGCGAGAGGAGCGCCGGGGGCGGCGGGGAGGCGGGGGGGCCGGGGGGGGGGGGCAGGGCGGGGGACGGGCAGGGGGGCGAGGCCGGACCGCGCCAGTGCCCAGCTGGGAAGCGCGGCTCCCAATTGACAGCGTGTTTCACAAGCACTTTACAGGCCGATTTGGGGGAAGCCACTTCCAGATGGGGTTCGAGCACCAGCCGGGCTTTCCTTTAGGACGCTCTTCGGCCAGACTGGGGCGGGGAGGAGTTGGGGGACCCTCGGGGATAAGGGGAAGCGAGGTCTGGTCTCCCGAGCAAGGAAACCGGAAAAGAGTGCCCCCCTCCTGCCCGCGGCCTCCTCCTGGACCGACCGGGGGAAGGGCAGGAGCACCCCCACCCCCGAGTTTTCACTCTCCGGTCCCCACGCCTGGCAGCTGCCGCGGAGCTCGGGACGGGAAGCCCCGAGGACTCGAGTTTCTCTTGGTCCCGGTCTGGAGTCGTCGGCCACTTTGCGATCGCTCTCTTCCAGCCGGGCCGGGACGCTGCCACCCGCCTCCAGCCTCGCCTCTGCAGCCCCTCAGACCAGCGGGGTCGGTTCCGACAGGCAGGGGTCCGGGAGGCCAGGGCGCGGAGGATGAGTTCCCGACGGAGCCAGCGACGCGCGGGCTGGGGAGCCGCAGCTGTGCCCTGGACCGCCGGGCACTGGGCCGGCGCGGAGGTCCCTCCCGAGCACTCCAGGGGCAGGAGTCGGCCTGGGACGCCTCTGCCCTTTCCCGCCCACTGGTGACTTCTCCACCTGCGGTGACGGTGGCGGAGGGAGGCGAGTGCGGGTGGGAGGAGCGGGTTTCCAAAATCCCCTTTCGATCTCCATAAGGCCCGAGGGAGTCCCCTCCGCTGGAAAGGAAAAAGAGGTGAGCCTGATCCCGAGGCGGAAGGGAACTGCCTGGAACTTGCAGCGCAAGGGATGCGCTGTCCCCAGACGCTCGGGAGCAGGGCGCGGGGTTTTCCCTGCGCCGCCTCCTGTGCCCGGACGCCTTCGGCTTCTCGAAGAGGCCAGGCTTATGCGGTCCTCTGCGCCAGCAAATCGGGGCTGCAGCCCGGGCCCTGTCGTCTGCAAAGCACCGCAAAGCTAGGGGCGCATCCGGGGGAATGGGAATCGGGGTTTCCCCAGCCCAGGAGGGAGAGGGCTCAGGCTTGTTCCCCACCCCCGCCCGAAGTGTCAAGTTTCCTCCGGGGGAGGGGGCAGGCGGCGAGGTCGGCTTCGCGCAGCCGGGACTGCAGTCTGCTCTCCCCGATGGCGGTCCAAGCCTCGGGCGCACGCGTACAGTCGCACACACCTTCCTGCACACTTACACGCTCACACGCGTGCACAGACGCAGGTTCGGAGGGGCCTAGGAGTCGGTGGCCCAGATCGCCGCCCACCGCAGGGGCTTTCGGAGCCGGGCCGCGGGCGGGGCGCGCGGGGCGGGGCCGGGGCAGGGAAGAAATTGATAACAGATTCGGAGGATTACAGGATCTCTTTGTTAGAGCCGAAGCCACACAAACCAAACCCTCTCGGGGCCGACTCTCCTGCGGGAGTCCACCGTGCCCCAGACCTGGCCCAGCTGGGAGTCAGCTGTCCGGTTCCGAGAAGCACGCGCGGCCCCCAGCTCCAGGGTGTGCGCAGCGGGGCGTCCCTGAGTAGCGGCTCCACTTAACCTCCGCGCTTGCCCGGAAACACCTTGGCCTTCTTCCCGCTCCAGTCCCGCCGCAATCCAGAAAAGGCCCCACAAGTTTGAGAGACTCGAAAAGCCCACATCGAAGGGTATAACATCCCCATCTGTTTACCTAGAGGTCTGGTCCGAAAAGACAGTATGCAGTGAGACCTCTCAGGAGACTCTCACACCAGGGCTAAAACAAAAGTTCTGGTTAGAAGCTGGTTTTCCAGAGAATGAACTAAATGTGAACAGGGCTCAAGGAGCCTGCTCCGTAAGGCCCCGGGGAATGTTATTCGCCAGCTCGGAAGAGGAGGGCAGAGGGCATCTGAGAGGGTCGGCGCAGGGTGGGGCGAGGAGACGGGAGGGCGTCTGGGCGCCTGGTCTCCAACGCAGACCAACTCCAAGCTGCGCCTCCTCCCTAAGTCTCCCCCAAGCCTTCGCGTGGGTTTAAAGATGTCACCTGCAGTGCGGGGGGGCCGGGGGGGGCGGTGACCGGGTAAGGGAGAGGGAAATCTGTTCAGGAAAGCTGAGTAGCAGAGGTTCGGGGCGAGGAAGCTTTAGGGCTCGGTCGCAGGCCCGAGCAGCACCAAGGGCACAGGCGGTCCCTTGAGAGAAATGGCGAGACGCTGGGCAAAATCCTGCGCCCTTGGTCACGGGCCCTGCCTCTCCCGGTCTCGGCGTCCCTTTCCTCCTGGACTCTACACGTAGAGGCTGAGACTGCAGATGGAAATGGGGAGGGACACCAACGGGGTCAAAGTGCCTTTGACCAGGGACAAAGAGGAAGAGGGGAAACTCCCAGAAAAACCTCCGCTCTTGGAAAATAAACTGTTTCCATCAGTCTGATCTCTTCCTAAGGCAGGGAGCGAGATGGAGAAACGAAGCGTGCGGGGGGATTGCAGCCAAAAACTTGGGGTCCCTGGGACCGCAGAGAGAAGCGAAAGGGAGAGAGAGTGGGTCAGCCAAGGCTGGTAGGGGGTCCACTTTCGGGGAGCAGACAAAGGATCCATCGCTCCCCACGCCTCGCGCCTGTGCTTTTGAGGGCTACAGCTGCCCCGGGCTGCGGGTATGCGTGTCCACAGTGCTGTGCTGCGTACGTGTGCCGTGTGCACACAACAGCCCAGCGGGGTTGGGAGGGAAGAGAACAGTGCAGGAGGAGGCAGAGACAGCTCCGGGAGCCCCAGTCGGTGCAGGGTACACGACCAGCTTCTGATGCGATGCGGGGGCCTCAGAACTGACGTCGTGGGATCCAGGAAAGCGAGGGTCGCAGGAAAGCATGATCTATGCCGTCCTATTCCTGCTCCCATCCCCTCGAACACACACACACACACACACACACACACCACTTACACTTTGTCACACAGGCGATCTAACTCTCTCCGCAAGCTCAACTCTGTCCAGAGGGGAGCAGAGTCCGTGGGGGAAGAAAGAAAATTAAAGATCAGTCCAGTCTCCAAAGTTTAGCAGTTTCACCTCCACTTTTTACTAGATAAGAATCTAAGGCCATGGGAGGGGAAACACTTGTCAGGGACCACAGAGAACTACGGAGCCAACTGGAGCCACACCCGAGGCCTCGGAAGAGAATGCTGTCCCTCCGACTAGCACTTGAGGTAACATCCCTTCCCTCCGTCAGCGGCCGGAGCCCCTTCTGCTGTCTGGGTTGGACCCACAGCCTCCTTCTTATTGGAACGGCCGAGCAATGCACTTGTCCTCTAGAGGTCTCTGAGGGGCTGTGCTAGGAGAGGGGCCACGGTGGTCCAGAGGCTTGAGGGGGAGCAAAGAAGGGAGAGGGAGAAGAGCAGCCGGCCCCTCCAAGGCGCGGAGCTCGGAGGCGTCCTACCTCCAAACAGCCAACAGGGGGCAGCCGGCACCGCACCGCAGGAGAGGGAAGCAGCGGGTACCGCTCGAGCTGTGAGCGCACAGCGCTAACCTCTGGAGCACCGGAGCGCCCTGGGGAGGCGAGGAGAATACGAGGGACTCAGGCTGGGCCTCCCCGGGAAGGACTCCCTTGAAAACACATGGTGGGGGAGGCCAAGGCTAGTGTGTCCAAGACCTGAGGACTACGGATCCTTTCCCCCTACACACACGCGCGCGCACACACACACACACACACACACACACACACACCCGGCCCTAGGTCGGTCACTGAGTGCTAGAGCAGCATTTGACCCCTTGGAACTCCCTGGTAGAGGCCATCTAGAAACCAAATCTGGGGCTGGTCCTGCAGCCAGGGTTCGCCAGAGGTGTAATCGCGCTACAGGGCCCAAGTCACTGCCCAACAGCAAGCGGTCCTTTAAAGAAAGAAGTGGCCGGGTTGACAGGAAAACACAGCCCGAGGGTCCGCAGGGCTTTTTCTTTTTTTAACCTACCCCACCCTCTTTGAGGGGGAAGACTTTTGCTTTTAGGAAATATCTTAATTCCAATTCTCAGCAGCACGACCAAGAAAAATGGAAATACGGGTCTAAAGTTGGAAGGCGTTAAGAGTAAATAAAGGTTGTTATACTGCAAGTTATACTGCAAGAAAAATGTTAACTTTTCATAAAAGTGAACTCTCCGTGACCCTCTGGGTGTGTGACTCGACTTTAACATACAACTGACAATTAAAACAAACACGAGTTCGCAAACTGTCCCCCGCCCGCCCGCTCTCCCAAGGGAGGCCAGAGTGTTTCTAAAGAACAAGGCGGACTAGGCTCGGGTCGGCGCGCGCTCCCCGCTCTGAGGATCAGAGGCCGGACCGAGGGCGCTCCCCGCCCCCACCGCCTCCGCAAAGCGCGGAGTTCACCGGCGGCGGCGGCTAATAGCCCTAATAACGCGACCCGCTCCCCCAGCCGGGGTGCCCGCTGGCCCCCCGCCAGGCACTCTTAAAGGCACAGGGGTCTGAATCGCTCCGGTTTTGCGCCACAACGGGCTTACTTACTCGGCGGTGGGGGTGGGGGTGGAGTGGGGGTGGGGAGGGTGCTGCTCTGGGGTACGGGGTCCCCTAGACCCTCGGCCGGGCCTCCCGACCACGGATCCCCGCTCCCCCTTTCCGAGCCCCGGCCGCACACTCCCCGGGTGCCCGCGCAGTGGGCCCGATAAATATTTGTTGAGTTAAATCATTATCCTGTTACTGAAGATACACGGTAAATCACACTCGGGGTTCTCAGGGTGAAGGGACAGTCTCCCGCGAACCGCAGTGTTCTGCCCTCGCTCTTCCCCACGTCTTCTCGGGGTTGGAGAGGTTGCAGATGGCTGGGGAGACGAGGGGCGGTCTCCCGGGAGGCCGAGGCAGCGCGGGTGGGGAGCGTGGGGGCGAAGATGTGAGTCTCCGTCAGCCCCGCCGGGGCTCAGCCTCTCGGGCGCTCGGAGGCCGGGGATGGGGAGAGGTGCGGGAAGTCAGTGGACTTCCGAAGAAAGAAAGCGAGAAAGTGGCGAGCGCCGAACACCTACCTTCATGGCGAGGGGGAGGGGGCGGAGAGGAAGTCGCCACCGGGCGAGGGCAGCCGAGGAATCCGAGCGGAGCGGCCGGGGTTCGCCGGGGGAACTATCGGGCGCGGGGCGGCGGAGTCCTCCCGGGCGCGTCGGGTGGGCGCAGTGAACCGGAGCCAAAGCGGGCGCTGGCGACCGGGCCTGGGCTCCCAAGCTGGGGCCGCGCAGAGACGGGCCCGGGAACCGGGCGGGCGCCTAGGGGCGCGGGCCGGCAACAGAGAAGGAGCCGCGGGTCCGGCGGGGGCGCGCAGGCGACTGTTCCGCGGCGAGGCGCTCCCTCTCCAACGTCCATCAGCGACGGCGGTAATTAGGGCTTTCCAACCCCAAATGTGGGCGTGATTGTGCAAAAGACTTTACAACAAATAATAAAAAAAATTCTTCACAAGGGGGTGAAAAAAAATGCCCCACTACTTAACTCTGGCCTGAGGCGGGGAAAGGGGGGGGGCGATCCCTGCGCCCAGGTGCCCCCGGTTCATTCACACCACGGACTGCAAACTCCAGGCGGCTCACGCCTCCTGCTCTCCAGCTCCTCCTCTCCGGGTCTGTGGCCGAAGCGTCTGCTTCCAGGGACTGATCCTACGGCCGCGAGTGTGTGTGGACGTCTGTGCACACACACGCACACGCTGGAGTTCGGGGGCCACAGAACAATCAGGCGCGCAGGGCTTTTTCTCCGGGCGATGCCACTGAAAACGCACCAGTCGCCAACAGAGCTGCAAGGGGCAGCGCCGAATTCTGTCCTTTCATTTTAGGGTCTAGCAAAAGTGGGGCGCAAAATGAGGGAAGTCGGTCCTGAACTTTCTGCTGCGGGTGGCTTAAGGAGGCGATGGGTAACTGCCCCGGAGACGCCGGCTCTCTCCTCGCCCCTGTTCTCTCTTCGGCTACGGTCCCTCTTTTTCTCTCGCCCTGGCCAGGGCCAAGGCGAAGGGGAGCGAGGGCACCGCGGGCGCGGAGCTGGAGAGCGGCGGGAGCCCGGGGCTCCGTGGCGGCTCAGCTCCGGCTGTGCACGGCCCGCGAGGCCGCCCACCTCCCCACCTCTGGTCGGCGCCGGGTCCGCGGGGCGGGCGGGCGGCGGAAGGAGCTCGCTGCGCAGCGGCCGCGGGCCGGACTCCGGGAGGCGGGGGCGCGGGGAGCCCGCGGCGGCTTTCCACGCGCTCCTGCGCCCCGCAGACACAACGACCGACCGCGGGGACGAGTCCCCCACCGCCCCCCGCCCTCCTGGCCAACTGCCTCCTCTCCCGCCCTCTCCCGCCCTCTCCCCGGACTCCTCTTTCCCCTGGTGTTCTCGGGCGAAGAAAAAGAAAAGAAAAAAAAAGAAGAAGAAGAAAAAGAAAAAAGAAAATGTAAAGTTGCAGAAGCAAAACCGGCTGGAAGGGGGGGGGGAACCCTCAACTTTGGTATGCGCATGCGTGTTAAGGCCGGCCTATGACAAACTCCGCCGGATTTTAAAGCCGTACTACGGGCTGGGGTGCTGGGAGGCGGGGTACCCCCTTCGGGCCCCCTTCTCTTGGCTCCCCATCCCCCAAGCATCTGTTGAAAGAGAAAGGTCCACTCTGCAGGCGCTGCCTGCCCGCCGCCTGGCTGGCTGGCCGCGCTTCTTCCAAAGCCGCCGACCGCGAGAGGCTGAACCCCAACTTTCCGGACTGGACCCCTTGGCTTGGTTATCACAAACTGCTCCCACTGGGGCTCCGCAGAGACCGCGTCCAAACATGGAACCTCGTAGGAGGCCTCATTCCCGCGCCGGGGGAGGGTAGCACAGCCCGAGGGCTGGAGGGCAGGGCGGGTGCGCCGTCCTGCGGAGCCCCGGGGTGAAGGGGCTGGGGCGGCGCTGCGCGTCGGGCTGCGACCCAGCGCCGCCAGGGCGAGGAGTGTTCCTGCCGCGCGGACCGAGGCGGCTGCTTTCAGGTGAGAAGACTTCGGAGTTCGGCCAAACCGGGTTCCGGGCTCCGGAACCTCTACAGGCTTCCAGCTAACCGCGGCAGTTGGGGTTCCGGCGCGGCCAGGCTGGGGGATGTGTGCCCTCCTTCCAGCACACTAGGGCGCCACCCCCGAACTGTGCCTCCCGGCGGCGCGATTCATGTGCAGCGTTTTCCCATCCTCCAGCGGTTAAAGGTGGAACACGCGCGCGGGCGCACACACACACACATACACACGCGCGAGTTATCAGTTTCTGTCATCCATCGTCACGCACTTGACCTTAAGGGGCAAAATCCGTGGCCTGGGTGCTTCGGGGTGTCGGTGGTTTGGGTTTGCTCTGCCCCCCCATCCCCCCCCATCCCCCCACACCACCTCCCCTGGCTGACCACCCTCGGGGCGCGCAGGCGGAGTCTCCAGCCACATTGTCCCTGCTGAGCAGCCCCTTCCAGTCCCTTATTGTCCTTGCTGATTGGACGTCTCCTCCACCCTGGGCGCCTCCCTAACTCTGGCCTCCTCGCTTGGAGTGCAAAAACGGCCATTCGCGCTTCCCACGGAATGCAAAAGGTGGATACCCCTGCTCATTCTGGCTTCGCTCCTTTCTCCAAGGGCGCACAAAGCCTAAAGGACAGAAAGCCCCAGGTTCTCAAAGCTCCGCTAGGGAGACTCCCGCCGCCTTCAGCTCGAGTCTCCTTTCCTCCGGCCCTCACTAGGCTCTGACCACATAGCGACCCTTCACCATTCACAGTTTTCCCATCTACTTCAATTCTACCATGGGAGGCACGGGAGGCAAATACTACAAAATAAGAGGGGTCTGTGCTACTGATGAATCGCCCCAGGAGTATCCCTGCAGTCTTCCCTCTCTCCCCAGCTATTTTGCCCAGTGGCTGCCCCCTAAGATTCCCTTGGCGATTGGAACCCAACTGCTCCCTGGGTAAACGCTCCAGCTTTGCCACGAGGCAGCGGATCTCGAGGACTCAGCTCACATGTTGCAGCATGTGTGGCAGGAAGTGAGTGGCTATGGATGGAGCTCCAACCAGGGCACAGAGGCCCCCTGGCACCTGGTGCAGAGTGCCCTAGGGTCCAGGGCATTCAGATAGATGGCAAGGCCATTTAACCGGAGAATTTGCTCCACCCACGCAGAAACACACGCTACCCAGCTACAAACCATTTTTTTTAAATGCTGTTTTCTGAGTTGTCTGGATAATTGCCTGCTTCTCTTGTTCAGTTGCCTTTGTGTCAGAAACAGCCCCCAAGAGTTCTACTCGCTGTTGTGTTTTGCAAACTTTCTTGCTTTCTTTTTTTTGGTACCGGGGATCGAACTTGGTACCTTGCACTTGCCAGGCAGGCAGCAGAACCACTGAGCTAAATCCCTGGCCCATGCAAACTCTCTTCTAGTGGAAGACTGTGTAGGCTAGTGGTGAAGAGGGCCAACTCTGGAGTTTCAAGTTCGAGTCCCTGTCCTGCCACTTTCTAGTTGTGACATCTTGGACAAATCGTAAGACCTCTCAGTACCTCAGAGTCCTCTTAAAGCTTCATATAACAAGCAGCAGACACATGATGTACTTTGAAGGAGTACACTGAGAATGAAGTGGGGTGGCCTTGAAAATTAGGGACTAAGAAGAAGATACCACCGTGACCATGAATGACTCCGGCTCCTCTAGATAAAGCAGCCCCAAAACAGGGTTTTAACTCCTTTCAAGACCATTTGTAGTTTTGATTTACTCCATTTGCTGTGAATATTTATACTTTTCACTGAAGAAATATGAACACATTTGATTACTTGGTACTTCTGCCAACCTCACAGGCTATTTTAACTTTCCAAAAAAATTCAAATTTTCCAGTGAACCTATCTGGTCCCGAGGACTTCAGATAAGGGAATGTGAGTTTTATTTGCTGATATTAACAACAGGTGTGCTGAAATGATTCCTTAGGAGTAATAAGCTCCGTGTCAGCAAGACCTCATCTGTGTTTCCCAAGGCTGGGACCCCGTCATCAGAACAGTGCCCAGCACATAGGAGGTGCTCAATAGTGACTGAATGAATGAATGGCTGAAGAGATGAAGGAATTATTTCAGAGGATGATGTGAATCCCCACTGCGCCTTCCGTGGGGGTTGCAGGTACAAGCTGTCCTGGGAAGCTAGGCTCCATTGTAAGGACTGGTCCCCCTGTGGGTGTTGATTGGTTTGGCTGTGAAGCAAGCAGACAGTTGGAAGGGGGAAGTGGATGCCTCTCTGTCTGTCTGCAGTTTCCTGACCATGGTACTCCAGTTTGTGGAACTCCAGGTCTCCTCTTGCAAACTGTCTATGCAAGAGGGTGTGTGCTCTCAGATTGAGTCATCTGAAGACACACTGGCAAGGCATCACCATGCTCCTCTCATTAAAAATGCTTTTTAGTCTGTGGAACAAATAAATCAATATTTTTGGCTGCTCTCCCAACAGGGTTATTTCACAAAGCAGAGTGCAAGATAAGGAATTTATGAACGATTGCATCCTTGTGCTGCCTTTCCCAGCAGGAGAAAGCAGGGCCTGGGCTGTCATTCTGGGAAAATCTACCTTTCTTTTATGCCCAGCAAATAATGTTTTATGGCCCCTGGGTTTATGGTGGTGTTTTAATGATCTGTTGTAGAAAGCGGTTTTCTCTCCAGTCACTAGAATTTGTCAAGAAGGGCTGCAGGCCATAAAAGAGGGACGGGCCCCAGGGACAAACAGGCTCCATCTTCTGAAATAAACTAATAAAGAGCCCCAAGATGTTTACTCCTTCACCTCAGAGTCAAGACCAGCAGGGCCTTGTGAGAGGGCTCCCAGATGGAGCATTAAACAGGACAAAGAGGCCGGAAAGGGGTGGGGCTTCCTCACACCACATGGCCACAGTCAAAGTAATACCAGTACATTATGCTGCCACCAGGCACTGGTCTATGGGGGACAAAGGTCCCTTGAGGTTAGAGGACCTTTTTGGACTCAGGTTGGACTCCAGGAGGCTCCTCAAGAATCACCAGCTCTCCTTGTGCTGGGTCTGACCTAACTTAGAACCCCTCTTATTTTGAGACTCAGGTGGTTTTTTAAGGGCCTGACAAATGATTTGGGTTTAGTTTTCTGTTTTATTTCAGAGGACATCATGGCTCTGCAGGAATGAGCTTGAATCTGAGTTCTGCCTCTTGGTAACTGAGTGATCTTACACAGTCACATTTGAGCCTTAATCTCCTTACCTGCAAAGTAGAGATGAGAAACAAAACACTGATGTTGTCTAACAATTGCAAATGTACAAAAGACCTTGGTCTAGCATCTCCTTATGGTGATAGCTCAAAGAATGATAGCTACAATGCCAGAAATGTCTGTCCCTAGGCCGCTGGGTAAGATCCAGAATCACAGGAGGAGCCTGAGGAGGACAGGACAGCTTGGGGGTCACAGGAAGAGGGAAAATGTGGCAGGCAATTATACAATCATCTGCCCTGGCTACAGAGAAGAACGCAATAAGAAGGAGGCAGATAAGTGCTGAGTCAATAGCAAGCGATACTAATAATTGCAGGTAACATTTACTGTGCGCTGACTGTGTGCCCAGCGCTAGTCCTGTCTTCACTGGTTTATATTCATCGTCTTGTTTCATTCTCCTTCACAAGGTAGATCTTATTATGTGCATTATGTGGAGAAAAGGGAAGATGCAAAGAAGTCACCATCCCAGTAAACATGAGCTGCTTTAGTGAGACAGGAGTTGATGCCTGGAACACCAATTCAAGTCCCCTTCAGCAGACCTGTCAAAGAGTTGCCCTTATTTAACTGCCTTCCTCTGAGGCCTGGACTCACCTGGCCTCTATCAGGAACACCAGACAGCCTGCACATTCGGCAGCTCACCCACAGTCTTGCCTTTTGCTGGGGACTGGACGTGGAATCCTCTGCTCTCTGCAAAGGGCCTGGGCTTGTGCTTCTGCGTGGTCCCTGGAGTGAAGTCAAGGGTGTGTGGGCTGGCTGTCCCCAGTGCGGCCCAGGCCCTGTCATTCTTCTGCCTGTCGCCCCTCAGGGACTCCTAGTGCTTCTCACCTCAAGTCTCAACAAGCTTGCCTGCCTGGCCAGGCTCCACAGTACCATCCTGTGTGTGTCCCCGTGTCCCTGCCCATCTGGCACTCTTGCTCCCT